GTCGAAGGCATTAGCCTCCGTAGAGTAGCTAGTGTGTTATTACTTTCAGTCCTACGCCAACATCACAATTATGAAAGTTACTTCTCTTTATTAGTCTAAGCTCTCTGCACTAGTATCGACACATTCCTTACAGTAGTACAGTAGTACTTGGGAGAATATAAAGAAAAAAAGTTACGTAATTGTGAGCCAATGCAAATCATTTGAGATAAAAAAAGAACTTATTCTATTTAGCGCTTACCCACTCACGTTAACAAAACAAGGGCTTTGTAGTTTACTTCGAAGTTACAAGTATGAATATCAACGGCCGAATAATTACATGACGTATGACCCTTAAACACCATACGAATAATGGGATTAAAAAGCAACAAACTTTCTCATAACATTCAGGTTTTCCAGGAATGTATTGATTTCATTTATTTTTCTTTGGGTTTTTACTTTGTATTATCAATATTGGGCAAACTTATTCAACTACTTGTTCACTCTCTAAGTCTCTTCTCATTGCCGTGAGAATCAGTTTGCCGTTTTTCATTCATCACAACTGCATTTAGATTCTACAATTTCCATATTCCACTTCTATCCATTCTTTTATTAGAAAAGGATACCCACCTTTGCTGCCCTTTCTTCTACACTTTCTCTTATGGTGCACACACCATGCCACTACCACGACTACAACAAGTACAATGACTCCTCCCACTGAAGCACCAATGATAATCCACAGGACTTTACCTTTATTACCATCTGAAATATAAAACATAATTGTTGCTCTTGTTTAGATTCCAAAGATTAACGTTTGTACTGACCACGTTTTGACAAAATCACACATCAAAGATTTGAAATAAAAATGCTTCAAGTACACAGGTCAGAAAGACGTTTCGTCTCTAGCGTGAATTACATATAGCAAGACCTTTCTACAAGGTCGGATATTTTAATAATATTTACGAATGGAATAAATAATTTGCTCTAATAAATTATTGGTTTCTTTTTAGAGATAAAATACCACTTGAACAATTTATAAAACCCGATTGGAAGTGATTAAAAAACAAACAAACAAACAAACAAACAAAAACAAAAACAAAAACAAAAAAAACAAAACAAAACAATCATAGGAGACCTATGGTCAAACTCGTGGATTAAGTAATCTAGAGATGAAACATGTTGGTGGACTTGCTATTACTGGTATATTACTAAAGGCTGTTACAACAAACCGGGTCCATACCACGCAAGGTAGCACTTATCTCACAAAGCGTAGGCTTAATTCATTGGCTTTTGTTGCACACATATTACAAACAAATATGATACGTCCAGAATAGCTAGGGTGGCAAAATTGAAGCTGAACATGGAGTGATAAAGGCTAACGGTTCTTGGGTCACAGAGGACACTCCTGCCCAAAAAATCATAGAGTACTCCCCCCCTTTCCCCACACCCAGATCATGATGTTGATTTTTGTCTGCCTGGTGGGAAAATTTGCATGTAGTCAAGTTGTACGCGCTTACAAATGATTTTCATTGCATTTCATTCAAGGCTATAGGCAAGGTTTCTTATGAGACAGCACTTCTTTTCCAATGTGGAACCGCTTGTCTCTGTACATTATTGCACGATAAATACATCAAAATAAGTAGCCTCTTTAGCAAGCATTTTCAGTTTTGATCTGAAAAATCTGTCGACCCCAAATATGTCTTCCAACAAGCTCACAGGCTTTTTCCCCCCTTAGTTATCTTTTCAATCAAGAAGAAAAAGTGTAAACAAAAGACAGGGTTAAAATCATTTAAGCTTATCAACATCAAGTATTTGGGAATTTCTTTAATTTTCTTCTGTAAACATCTGGAATTTACTTTGGCTATCTAGGCGACTGATTATCAGTGCTGATCAAACAAGCATTTACATAAGCACTTTTCCTAATGCTTTACTTCTAAAAAGGCTCAAAATCATGGGACAAGTATATACTTTTCGACAAACTCGATCATAGCCTTGTGTCACGCACCTCCATAACCCTGAAATTCAAAA